GGATCAGCTCCAGGCATGACGAAGCGGATATCGTCCGCTTTTGGAAGGCTAACCAAAGTAGTTTCGCTTTCACAACAAAACACAGCGCCTTCATGACATGGCGGCGGCGGCAACAACAATACTACAGCGAGAATAAAAGTTATGCCTTCTTTCTCTGCGTGAACATTTGGGCTGCGTTATGCAAATCTTCCCACATAGTGACGTAGACATGTGGGGGCGTGTTAGAACGAGCCGTTTTAGGTAGGCGTGGTTGACTCTTAACTTTTATAAAGAATATCTCTTTGGATTTAAGACTTTAGTCTTTGCAACTTTACAGATCTTCTTTATGCACCAAGAGCTTGTAACACTCCAAAGAGAAAGGAAAGATTTAAATCGCATCATATAACCCCTTTAAAACAATTATATATATATATGTGACCTGTGCTGGCAAAATGAGTCACAATAAGCAAATTGTCAAAATTATTTTCACATTCTCCATTTAAAAAACCTTCAAAATGATATATGATTTGTTGGAATCTGGTGAAAAATGTCTGAGCTGACCCATTTGAAGATGACGAAGTCAGCAAAGTCAGTTCACGTTGAAAAATCAAGTTGAAGTTTTCTGAAGGTTCCAAAGCAAAATCACCTAGCAATGCCTTTATGTGTGCGATTCATATGTCAGTCATCGGCAGCGTGAAAAGCGAGCAGAAAAAAAAGGTAGGATACTCCTCTCAGAAAATGTACGCCTACAAATAAAGATAATTTTAGATGTTTAATTACTATTTGGGGCACTGGGATTGCTAGATGAGGGCTTAATGAACAAATTTTTGTGAAAACCTGAAATTCGACCAAAATCTATGTTTTTGAATTTTTTGGTCTGTAGCTCAAAATTAGCCTGTTTGCGCATACCGACTAATTTTGTCAGCATGGGTCACATAAATTATATACATAATTTATATTCAGTACCTGCTGATAGGTGGCTGTTTTATGGCTATTTGTGTTTACTCTCTGAATAGCTTTCAAATTTGTTTGGAGGTTTCTATTAGCAATGTTTTTACAGTGTTGAAAAAGCAGCCAGTCACAGACATGCCTGTCCTGCACATTTGCAAATCCTTTCATTATATTAATATTTCAATGCAGTACTGATTGTGTAAAATGTATGAGTGGTATAAGTGTGAACACTGATTAAAAATGGGAGCAGTGCAATTAAATAGCTGCATTGCACTTTCCTAAAAAACTTTTTACCATTTTATTTACCATTTATTGTTATTTTATTTAGAAAATAAATATATTATACTATAATTATGTAATATGCAACTCTTTGAATTATTAAATGCATATTTGCTTTGCAGATAGAGTGTAAGGAACTTTATTATAATTACATTTAAAATGGGTTTTTTTCTGCATGTGCTCATTTCAATTTGTCTAACAGCGTCTCTCCTCTGCAGGGTCCTGTTTCGAGTGTGATGCAACCTGTTTGTGTTTGTAAAGTGTCACTTCTCCAGGGGCTACAGCAGGCGTCTGTCTGGCTCCTACACTGTGTTTGTCCCTGTTTGTGATCTCTATATAGAGGAGGCATCTTAGGATAACACTCTGGAGAGTTACATCTGTGCTCAGGGAGATTGTGATTTATGAGAAATGTAGCTACCTTAGTAACACCTTAATTCAAACCATAAATCTAAATGTTTAATTTAAGTAATGCTACTTTTCAGGTGGGTAAGCTTACCATGTTCAGCCAAATGATTAAGTTGATAAACATTATGATTAAAGATCCTGTGAAATTAAAATTATTGAGGGTTTTAGTTCATTGTATATTAACTATTATTTGTAATTATTTGTGTGAATTAATCTTTCTCTTCCAAGAAAAAAGACCATAAATCCTGATGATCTTGTTTATGAGTGTGTATGCAAATGTTTGTTCAGTAAAGTGGACTCTAGAATGAGAATGTCCCTTCCCCAATTAAAAGGCTAAAAGGTTTACATTACTTTATATACATTATTACTGTTTTACTATAGAATATTTTAGTAGAGAGTTAGCAAAAAGGTTAGCAGACTCCAATGCTGGATGACAAAATTACCTTGTAAAATTCATACATTACATTAGACAATCAAGTACATACTGAATATTGTGTAATTTATTTGGGACATGTCATATAATGGTACAATGTGAAATAGTATTAGACATTTAAACTAATGCCTATCATTTGAAAACCAAGGTTTGTATGTTCTGAATAATTTTATAAGTGATAAACAATAAAATGTTAAATACTTGTCAAAATAAGATGCAACTAAAGTTTTGCCAGCCTAACCATCATAAAAGCCAACAAACATAATATAAGTCAATGTATCACTAGTTGGCTAGTTGAGCATAAAACGTTCATTCAGAGAGTGCTTCTCTGCTTGAATTCATACACTGTGTGAAGGATTTATGAATAATTCAGTATCCCATGAAAAGTAAAGCTAAACATTCTCATCCCAGCCCAGTAACCAAGGAGACCGGCAGTTCTACCCTTCTTTGAAACCACACAACAAATGCTCTTGTCTGTTGAGACGAATAATTCATTTAAAATCATTTCCCCACATTATAAGCTGCATTCCCTGCAAAAAAAAAAAAAGCCAGTTTAGATTAGCATGATCCAGCTAGTATACCACTATGGCCATACTCAACTGGTCTCAAGCAAATCTTAACTGGTGAAACTAGGTAACCAGCCTGATCCGGTGATGCTAGTGAATTAAGAAACTCTTGCTGGTTAAGCTAGTAAAAGAGCTAGGTTGGGACACCTGTTTGGACGATTGGTCTCCCGGACTGAAATGTCCAAAACATCTCTAAAACCATCAAAACAAACAAGCCTATCTTGCAGGTATCTGCCTATTAGCATGTTTCTAATTGTTATCATTAGTACTAATCTACATACGGTATAAAACTGAATAGTTTCATAGTTTCAAAACATAGTGTAGGCTATATATTTGATCCAGAAACAAACCCTGTTGAGCCACTGCCTCAGTAAGATAGTTTCTAGTGAAGTGTGTCTTGACATAAGAATGGAGACATGCAAAAAAAGAATTATGTACCAAAAAAAAAACATGCATAATTAAATGTTATATTTATGTAAAAGGATTTAAGAAAATCAATTGCTGTTTTTAGACACACTGTAAACCATGCAATTTCAGAACAAACACCTTTATACAACACATAAAAAGAAACAAATTTGTGTTGACAGTTGCTTTTGGCTTTGATGAAACAGTTTCTTTTAATTGAACTGCTAAATGAGGACCTTATGGAATTTGAGAGATTATGGCTGAAATATGTTCTGTAAGGCTGCTTTGACACAATGTCTATTGTTTAAAGGTCTAAATAAATAAAATATACTTGACCTGACAACAGTTCAGCGATAATATGCAAATGTGTGATGATTGCACAAAGAAAATATCTAGAACATATAGTATGAATAATTGCAACTGTGCTATTTTACACCTACTGCTTTTTATCTCTGTCTGGCTCAATCTCCTCCCCACCCCCCTCAATACTTCATAAACTAAGAAGGAGATACAGCAGATCCAACTATAGCTATTTATCAATTCAATCTCTGTAACAGTCACTAATTGCTTTTGAAATATTGCACAGCATGCAGTCTACGTGCAACAGAGATTTATCCGACATTTGTGGCCTCAGTTAGCCAATAGCTGTATTTGACTTCACAAAATACCTAGCATACTTATCTACTTTAACTTGACATCACAATTTTGATCCCACTCACATTCATATAAAAGGTCATGCCAGGATTATAGCTGCCATGGAAACAGCCTTTTTAAAACCTTGCAACACAAAGAACAAAAATCCATGTAGTCTGCTAAGCAGACTCTGCTACTGCAGGTGAAAACAGTGTTGATGACTTTATTCGAAAACTGACATCAGTGCCAAAATAAAGTAGTCAGTCATTTTGTCAATGAGATTTATTTTAAAATTTGACTAATTGCTTAACTAATTAATTGTATTATTATATGAAATTCTGCATCTCTCCAACAACATAATTTAACTATCTTGCCATCCATACTTATCATAGAAGCCCCAGGGGTTTATATCAGAGCTGCTTCCTTGACCCAATCCACAAAGGAAAGCAAGCCAAATAAGTTTAACATCAATAGCTTAATGACTACACACTCGTGAAATATTAATATAATGCACAGTGTTATCAAAATACAAAGTAATCACATTGCCTAAAAGAACACTCAGATTAATTTTTGCATGTTTTAAACACCATTTACGCATGGTTGGGAGCAGCTGTAGTTTACTAACATCTCGAAAATATGAACACTTGAATGAATGAATAAAAAAATTATCCAAGTGGCTTTACAAACAATTTACACAGAAATTCATTCTGCTAGTGTTACATGAATGCGCCCCACTGTATTCAGAAATTCTTTCTGCTCATGTTTCAAGAGTAAGGCCTAAAGAGTCTGAATATGGCAAACATAATTGCATAATGAAATAAATCAATAGGGGACACCATACACATGCACATAAGGCCATAAAATGTCCCAAATATACATAACCAGTGCAACACTATTCTTGACAGATTAAGTAGAATTAAACCATGTAAAACTGGGCCTTATAAGCTGCTGAAGTTTTGCTGTCTGTCAAGAAGAATCTCATGAGCAACTATATCAAAGGCATGAAAATATCACAGCAAACCTGGATTGATATAAGGTTGCCATAGTCTTCAATGATTTGTCAATCATTTATTACCTGCGACTAAACTTTCAGGGAAATGTCACATTCAGCTTTGTAGAAAAATGTATTATGAACATCAAGGTGCTAATTCTGCACTTCTAAAATCCAGATTTATCAACCAACTTCATGCCTGCTCAATAATAGAGTAGAAACACTTTGCAAAAATCTCCCTCACTGAAACTGCATATGAGACAGGTACCTAAGCAAATATGTATAAAAAATATGAAATCTTACCAGGGAGTCCATGCTTTCACTTTGACCTGATTCAATGTTTGTAAGCATATCATCTTGTGCAGGATTTTCGACTCTATGTGCCTTACGCATTGCTGCATTGCCCATGGTGGATATAAAGGAAAAAGAAATCCTGAAACCATCAAATAAGACTATTCCTTTGGGTTCCCATTTCTGAGCCCAACAGAGAAGCACCACAATGTCCTACCAGTTCATCTATCACTTAGACAGACAACTAGTCCCTTCCATTACCAGTGGTGATCTACCGCAGTTAACTACTGGGTGCTAATGCTTCTCCTTCATTGCTAATTTGAGCCCTGGCTATTTTTACACCCACAAGCCAAGCTATGCATGTCAATGGTGGCATGTTTGGGATGTGGGAACAGGGAGGATGACATGGCCAAAACTGGGAGGTAAGGTGGGAGATTGCAGGGGCTCCTTCTCAGCACCCAGTGCTCCAATGGTCACCAAGGATCATGTAACAGAAGTGCCTCTATCCAATGAGCATTAAACAAACATGTCAGAGGTGTGGGTGGGGGGTAAAGAACATTCAAGGTTATTTGCTCACATTACATAAGTTACTCAGTTTTACTTGTTTATAGAACTTTGGTCAAATAAATAACATTGCACTTACATATGTGCTTGTTACTGTCATGTTTAGAATTGTTATCAAAAATTCCACAGTACAACACAGTGCAGATATGTGTGTATTGAGGAATGTATTGATTTAACCTTCATGCTCAATGACACAATTAATTTGTCATTCCTTTTCCTTCGAGTTGCCATTTCTTGGTGTGTGTGTATGTGTGCAAGTGTGTATGTGTTTAAAAGAAATGGTTGGAACTTGTGTGTGTGAATGTATGACATATCTAACAAGCAAATGCCCTTGTTCTCCTTTGAACTGACATTTAATGAGCTCAAAAATAGACCTTCTCTACACAATAAACCAACTGTTTTGGCTAAAATATTTCCCATTCAATGAAATATTTTAGCATGGAGCCCATTCAACAAAGAGCCCATTTGAAGGTCCATCCACTTCAGCTAACCACAAACCACATTTTCAGTGTGGTGTAAAGAGACATTATCAGACTGTCATCGTTATCAAAATACACTACACAAAATTGTCATTCTGTTCCCTACATCAAGCGAACGTATGGCTTCAGAAGACATTCTTCTTAAGAATATTTACAAGAATCTTTACCCTCTTGTGACCCTCTTTACTTCCTCATTCTTTGGCAGTTAAACGGTCTATTTAGAAGACTTACAACTTGATATTTGAGTAAGATTTGCTCTAAGCTTCATAAAGCACAGATGAATTTTCCAATGCAAACCACCAATTACAAAGCCCCTCCCCTTATCATGCACCATGTCTCTCCACTAAGCAAACATCATGTTCCTGCACTGATAGAGGATTTTATTTCAATTTTCCCCTTGCTGCAACCAAACTAGAGGACATAATCTTTTGGTCTGGACAGACAACAAACTCCTTTAATCTCTAGTAAACCATATGGCCGGGGGGAGTGCGGTGGAGCAAAAGAGCTACTCACTCCTGCTGTGGGGAACATAACCACTTTATGCACAACAGGCAGAATTCTTAAGAACCACTTACATACATTTACCATAATGCATTAAACTCAACTCACAGTTTCTTCCAAAAATAATCTAGTTGTGTTGTGTTTGCCCATACATTACTCATTGCCACAATACCGGGGTATTGTGGGTGGCTGTAAGGTTTTGCTGCCAAGTTGCTAAGGTTCTTATTTAACATGCCTTTATGTGGTTGCTTGGGTAGTTCTGGGTGGATGTCTAGCTTTAAATCTCTATTATATTCTGGTCCTAGATATATCTGTTCCCCTTCAGTGTTAGTCTATGGGATTTTCCCCTCCACATATTATTATGAAAAAGTATGTTTATAAAGTCATAGAATATTTAACAAGGATTCTCAACTTGGACAAGAACAGAGGGATGGGAGTTGAATAATCACTGTTTTTCTGTTCAGTCAATGATATTTTATCTTAATATCATGCTTTTAACGTGATGCTGTAGCACTACAATGCATCGTTGGATTGCTGTTTGACAGGACTTACCCAAACAAAGTCTGTGCAAACTCTGGCCTAATATGATGAACAGAAAGATATGTATTTAATAACCTTAATAGCACTGGCATCATTTAGAGACATAATTCTTGTTTAAAATGTCACAAGCACAACACTGATAGAAATGAATGGCAGTGAACTTTCAATAGAACTTTCATGGCAGTGATTCTCCCTATAACTCACACACACACACACACACACACACACACATAGGTTTACATTTGTGAAAAGTTGGGGTGCCTCCAGGACCAGCGTTGGGAGCATTTGTTTTCATCATTGTATAGACGGATGTTCATTTCAAACACTGCAGTTTATTCTGAGCAACATTCTGAGTGTTTCACACCATTTCACTTTCCTCAACAATGTGAAGTACTGTATAATCGATTATGCTGATTACAATTGCTCAAAAAAAACACCACTAATCCTTTTTACGACTTGTCTGACTTGTTTATGACGCAGTTTGTTCATAGACCAATTACTATTGCTATATTTCATCAAGACTGATGTCCTGTACAGTAGAGCATTGCTCGCAAAACATTTCAAAGATTACAACCATGTAATAGAAAATGTATAGCTGGTCCTAACACGAACAGCATTCTAGACATAAAGCTTGCCCACTGCTTATAAATGTTTTGTTTTATCTGCTAGTTTGTTATTTTTAAAGTGGCCATGTTTTACAGCATAAAAACCTCATTGTAAAAAAAGACAGATTCTCAAGGGCCAGTAATTATTTAAAGACAGTGTCCAATACACACAAACACACACACAAAGATGCATAAAACAGACACTTCTCTGTGCTCCCATATTCAGAATGCATGATAGATACACCCAAACACACATTGCTTCTGAATGCCAAGTCTGCGCTATTAGACTGCAGCTCTGACTACAGGACTAAGACAAAAGGGGTGGGGGAACTATATGAGCTTAGATAAAATAATCAGAGGTAAACAGGAAGAGGGAAATAGGGCAGACCCATCCCCCCATGTGTCCTCAAGCTGCCGTTAGCCGCTTAGCTTTGGATTGTGGCACAATCAGTCATTAGACAACACGCCTTCCTGACCAATCACATTTTTTCAGGGGTCTCTGGGCAGGGTGGTAGGGATGGAAGGGTGTGGCTACTGTACTGTATGGCTCACTGTTGCTGGAGACGAGAACATGGGTGCAGCCATGCGAGAAAAACAGGAGGGGGAGATAAAAGATTAAAGACACCTCTCGGTCTTCTGCAATTCCCATCCCCTCGGCGTTCCCATCTCCCTCCCACCCGTCAAAAGAGGAATTGGTGCAGTCCGCCTCTTTGTGGTAATACTAGCTGATTTATACACTCATCGATGCTGCTTTCTTTCACTGAGCCTTTTTCAAATCCATATACTCGTATTGCTGATTACTGTACAATGACAAAATTTTGGCAAAAGACAATATACCAAAGAAACTTTCAAATAAAAGGAATACATAAAATTGCATTCTGTTGTTTTTATAAACATAATAGGAGATACATACATATCTGTTATGTCCCATTGGTTTCTGAGGGTATGACTAAAAAATAAAAATAATAACAATATACAGTACATTTTATTATTATAGCCTATGATATAATCTTTCAATCAGGTGGATTGTAAACACAATACATGGCCATTTTGAATTTTGTACATTAATTTATTTTAGTAATACAATTTATTTCTTAAAAAAATAATACAATATTTTGATAATAAAGGACAATTATTAACTTATAATTTTTCTTCAAGTGAACTTAACTCATACATCTAGATAAGTATTTATATAATCATTTTGTACCTAAAGTATAGGCTACACTGAAAAAGCCTAGGTCACGGGAGGGTTGGAATCTATCTAGTGTCTCTTGAAAACACCCTGGATGGATGGACAGTTACAAGTCTCACAGAAAATTCTAACAAATCAGATGCACACAAAAATTCTGAAACTAAATGAACATTTATTTTACAAAGTAAATAAGAAAATATGCATTTCAAGGATCGGTAGATTTCTGAAAACGTTTGTACCGACTAGCCTGATAACACAGCACCACTGGCTCAGCTACTAAAATATGACAGTCGTCAGTAAATCTTGGTGCACAACTCGTAGTGTTACACCTAAGCAAATTTCCAACAGTAATAAACAGACCTCTATCACTATGTTCCTATGGAAGTGTTTTATGTTAAGGACATGAATATACAGTAGCTCAGAGTAGCAGTGCAGTTCAGAGCACTGGCTATTTAGTTGTTCCACTGTAAATACTTTAAAGTGGCGCCATCTGCTGGTTATCTATTCTCTAGAGCAGGGGTGCCCAAACTCGGACCTGGAGGGCCGGTGTCCTGAAGAGTTTTGCTCCAACCCCAATTAAACACACCTGAACCAGCTAATCAAGCTCTTACTAGGCATACTAGAAACTTGAAGGCAGGTGTGTTGAGGCAAGTTGGAGCTAAACTCTGCAGGACACCGGCCCTCCAGGACCGAGTTTGGGCACTCCTGCTCTGGAGCCATCATCTACAACCTCAATTTTAACAGAAATTAAAGTGTTTCAACAGTTCCCAAGAGTCTTCTGTTACCTTTCCAGTCATAATGTACCTACTGCTTAAGGATTTAATTTGGAATTTAAAAGATTGTCCTTAGTAGTGCACAAATGTTCCAAGTACAACCATCAAACAAGACTAATATTATCAAAGCAGGATTGTGAGTTTTTTTTTCTTTTAAAGTTTGTACTTTACACAAGCACTCACAGCAATATGTGGCTAATTACATTTTAGAGCAGAGAAAAACCAAATTTCAATGACTACTTAAGATTTTACTATATTCCATAACTTTTCTAGGCTTGGAAATCACAATAAAAATCCAGGTTTTCCATGTATTGTGGGCACATTTATTTAAAAGATAATACTAGAAGGTATTAATTAGTGAGAACACCTGCATTAGTAGAGACAGCAACAATAACAGTGCTTTCCATTGAGTCTGGGTATGAGCTACACAAACACATAGCAAGACACACTAGTATAACTAAACATTTTGCCCCACACATAGACAATCACAAGCTTCAATTTTTCTGAAGCAACTTTAAGCAAGGGTCTTTGACAAATTTCCAAGTACAAAATCAGACTGGGAGAAAAATAAACATGAAATTAAGCAAGTCCTTAAACAAAATGAAGTATTTACAGGTTTTTTTTTCAACTGCTGACACACATTTT